TTTTTGTATTTATATCTTTTTATTTTTTGACACTTCTATTGTTGTAATTGCTCTCATTACACGCCCTGTTGTAGAAGTCTGAACTAAGGTTGTTGGATTATTATTTTTAGCCTCGTAGAAGAACTCAAATTGGATTTTTATCTAGGAATGCATTTATTTACAAGTACTAAACAGTTATTATGGTATTTAAATGCATATTCATTTTTCTTTGTTTCTGTAACTTTACTTTTCCAGTCACTGTCATGGGTAGAAATAATTATTCTAATCTTTAGTTTTGCTTATGTTTGTAGAAATTAAGGTAACTTCTTGTCTAGTGAATGAGTGTGAATTAGAAGTTCTACAGTTATTCATACACAATAGTGTATTAATAACGCCACGTTCATAACAATTAATAAATTGAAATATAATTGTTATGAACGTGGCAACTGTTTTACAAAAGAAATTCTCCAATAATAAATAATGTAACTATTTTTTTTAATTGATACACAATACCTTGTGTATGTACCCATAGCAGTGCTATATCAAATAAGATGCATTAACACGTTCAACAACAACACACCATGCGCATATTAAAAAGTTGCCCGAAGAATCTAACTCAGATGGGTATCATCGTTTAAGAAGTTATAAGTACGTTACCTGCCCTAGGGGGCTAGGTATTTGAGGATTATTGGGGATTCGGGGATTGGGAAGATTAGGGAGAGTAGTGATTATACCTCTGGTAACCTCACTCACACGATAAAACACAACACACGCGTTATTTAGTTAGTTTAGTTAGTTTCTGTGAGGCCGTGGTATCAATCCGGTCATTCGTACCGAAGCACTCTCTCACAGTGTCCCACACTTATACTCATGCTAAGATCAATATGTACCAGCGATGGCACATGCTGCAGAGACGTGGTCCCTAAAAACATGTGAACGGTGAGTTGTAGTGGAATATAAAGGATAACTTCTATTTACCAATAGCCATTTTCCGGCTGATGATGATGATTGTGGTGACACAATAAATATTTTTTCAAAAACATAAACAGAAATTTCATGGTTATCTAAGTTTTCATGGTTATCTAAGTTTGAAATCTTTACCTCAGACAATAAGCCATGAGCCTCAGACATTTAACCCTATACATGACGCGGTCCACTTCAGTGCATATTAAATTCATTGTTCTGAAAAATGGTTCAACTAACGTTTTTAGGCAAATATAAGACAAAGAAAAATTTTTTTTTTTGCTTATTTCTGTTAGTGATGGACCACATAACGAAATGCCGGCTTGTACCCGTGCAACTAATGGTGTATTTTTTTAAACGTTGCATCGCATTAGGAATTTGCTCGTGTCGTGGGTACGTTTACAAACATACAATTTCACATACACATGAGATTAAGACTCCGAAATAACAAATTCTAGATCAAACAAAGAGTTTGTATGGTATGCATGTTCTATCATAACTTAATTTAAATAGATGATTTATAACCTTTTTTATTATATTGTTATAATGTAACTTTCTGCAAGATTACACTATTGATATTATTTTTGTGCCGTATGTTTCAAATATCGAATACTTCAGTATTTTATTAGGTGTAATGTTCTTATTATAATATTCAAATGCAAATTGCCTGCTTTTCTGCATATTTATTCATTTCTATGTATGTATTCCATTTAAACTGTCAAACACCAAGCGGTGACCGGTGACCGCAACCTATTGTTCTATAATTGTGTCTACAAAACCGGTACTCGACGAATTAATAGACAACCAATGACGTGCGCCTATTTAAATTTAACGGCTTAATATAATTACCTAATAACCGGTCAAATATTCAGATATGTTTTCAGAATGGTTTGTAATCCGCTTACATCAATAAGTAATTGTTTCTTTAAAAGTTGTTTCTTGCCACTGCCTTACAAACTTTCTTTCTTTTAAGTAGCCTAATGATAGAAACAATATTGGTATGCAGAGCTACTGAATGCAAGTCGCTGCCAACCCGTCAATCTTGAACTCAGTGATGTTGATGTCTTGCTAATCTAACAACTGCCAACAAATTCAAATATTACTATCATCATCGTAATACTAATAGCCAAAAGTATACACCACTTCTAAACAAAGGCCTGCCTTCTAACTGGCATATCATATCGACTTCCAGTTAGGCCAGATAGGTCAGTTCTCCGAAGAATGTGCCTAACCCACTGCCACTTCATTTTGCCAACTTGCTGGGCTATATCAGCAACTTTTGTCTGTATGTGAATCTACTCATTTCTGCTTTGTTCACACACAGTAACACCGTGCATAGCCTTTGTAATATACCGCCTGCCAAATGAATGCCAATGGAATTATTATTTTTTCATGTGTAGACCTGTGCAGACTTACCTACGTCAATCTCGTACACTCACTTTCCTGTTTCATCTAACTCGACTTGCATTCGCTTCTGAGCATTGATCAAATGTAGAGTGTTAACTTAAAATTAAAGTGATAACGCGTGGAATATACTTTATAATTTGCACTGAATATTTTGTCGGTTCGGTGACGTGACGCAGGAACATTACTAGGTAAATTTACCTAGAACTAACTTACGTTGTATATTAATTGCAATTGGTCTATCTGGAAATCACTAGGGAGGCTTATACTCAGCAATGGACGATTTTTGGAACTAAATTATTGATTATATTTATTTTTGATAATAATATCAAACTCTTGGACGGCCTTGCTGGTCGCAAGTACGACTGCCATGCGAGGGATCATTTGTTTGGTTTGCGGTCGGTACTTTTCCGAATAGTTATTGTAGTACGGAGTCTGCCCGGCATAATATAGCAATAGGTTCACCACCATTACATGTGACCCATAACTAACGTGATCATTTATTTTAACTCAAAACGGAGGACATTCATTTATTTAGATTCAGTCAGGCATCTAGTTGCGGTTTGGTCGG